GAGCCCGATGTGGGGCTCGATCCCAGGACCCTGGGATCATGACCTGAGCCGAAGGCAGACGCTTAACGACTGAGCCACCCAGGCGCCCCTATATTTGAAATTTTAAAATCAACTCTTATCACAATGCTTTTCCCAGTTAATAATAGTAATAATGGAATAATAATAGCTAATATTTATTTATCTCCTTGGAATGTGCCATACATCCTGTTCAGCACTCTTTTTCCTTACTTAATTCTCACAACAACCACATGAAGTTAGCAGGTCTATTTTACAGGCAAAAAAAATGCATAAAGGTTTTTCGAGGTTGCATTATTTATCATCACAAAGTGAGTCCATGGCGAATTTCCAATTCAAAGGAAGACATCTCTAACCCAGTGCCTGAAGTCTTCCACACCAAATGCTTTTGTTAATCATCAGTTTCATAATAATAAAAAAAATTAATAAAAATATTTCTGTTTCAGTTCTCCTTTTAAGTATAGTGTAACACGTTTCTTAATAATTGTAGCCTAGAAGTCTGATCTCATCCTAGAGCCACATTTAACCTTTTTACTAAACCAAGTCCTCTTGATTTCCTCACGGTATGATTTTCTCCAATACATTTATTTCTCTCTCTCTCTCATTGCAGCATAATTCAACCTACAAACCTATCTTGTTGGATTACTAAAAAAAAAAAAAAAGCTTTCTAAGGGGTCTCCCTGGCACTACTGGGCGGCATCTTTCCATAATCCATTCTCTACAGCCATAGGTGTCTTTTTAAAACACAAATTTGATGTCAGATACCTACCTTAAACAGTTTGTTGGTGCTCCATGGATCTTAGGATAGCACTACAATACTCAGAATAACTTGGGTGGTCTTGTGTAGTCAGCCTTCTTCATGAGTCACCCCAAGCTCTTTTTCTCCCAGCCCCAATGGGGGACCGGGCTCCTCAGTCCCTCATACGCATGTTGCTTTGACAGACCTCCCACATGTGCATGTCCTCTTCCTTCTACATAAATTGTTCCTCTGTCCTCTTCCACTGCTAACCTACCCTCACCCTCCAGATCTCAGTTGAATTGTAATTTTCCCCAGAAAACTTTCCCTGACCTCCCTGAATATTTCCAAACCCTTATGACAATTTGGCATAGCCCCATGTTTCTCTTCTTAGCATTTTTCACAGATTTGTAAAGTCTGCTCCTGTGTTGTGTGCTCCATAGGACATTATGCTTTCCTCCGACTCCAGATCTAATTCACACCATGTGCATTATAGGCACTTGATAAGTATTTCTTGAATGAGTGAATACCACTCATCAGCAATGGAATTTAGAATTTCTAAGTCCTAAGAGTTAAGTGCATGTCAATTATTGACTAGTTAGGCCCTTTTAAAAGTTTAATTAAGATGTATAGATACACACAGAGATCAGTCCATACATTTTCTTCTATAATTTCATCACACAAGCTTCCTACATTATATGATTATTGCCATATAGTCAAAGCATTTTATAAATTTTTTAAAGTTTTCTTTTTTTAAGTAATCTCTACACTCAACATGGGGCTCAATCTCACGACCCTAAGACCCAAGAGTCACACGCTGTTCCGACTGAGCCAGCCAGGCGCCCCAAAGCATTTAATATTTTGAATAACTGCTTTATTTACTTATGGATTATTTATGTTTCTTAAATTCCAAGGATGTAGAGGGCTTCTATTTATCTTTTTATTATGAATATTTAGCTTAAGTTCACTGTGATTGGTAAACATATCCTGTGAGATGTAAATCCTGTGAAACTTGTTGAAACTTGATTTATGTACTTAAAAATGTTTCATTTTTAAGGTATGTGCCTTGTGTATTTATATTTTGCAGGATCTGGGTACAGAATTTTATAAATATCCACAAAATTAATGTATTATTCATATTGTTAAATTTTTCTCTGATTCTTCAGTTAAAACTTTTATCTGATTGTGACTTTGTTTCTTATGGGACCTTGCAATTGCTTACTACATATATTTAGTTTTTCTAATTTTTCTTCAAAGTGAATAATATAATTTGATCCATATCTAAGTGCATTGATTTTTATTTTGTCACATCCAATCATGCTATTAGGCCCTTCCAATGACTTACTTCACAACTGTATTTTTTTTCTAGAGATTCTGTTTGTTTCTTTTTATAACTTTTGTTCTTTGCTGAGATTTTGTATTTTTTTACTCATTGTGAGTATATTTTCCTTACATTCTTTAACATCAGTGTTATACTGCTTTCAGATCTTGTCCTGCTCATTTCTACATCTGGGTCATTCCTACTGATTTCCTCTTTTCTCTGATAATTTTTTATTCCAAATTTTGTAAATAATTATTGTACATTCCATGGATTTTGGTATGTGCCTCTGAAGAATATTAGTTTTTATTTCTAGCAGATTTAAGAGAGTTGCATTTTTATATTTTGTCCAGAACTTATAATTATTATATTGAAGGGAGTTGGCCCAATACAAGCTACTCTGCCATTAATGGAAGTGAAACTCTGCTTTATGTATTTTAGGATAATATTATTAGGTATATACAAATTTAGAATTGTTAAACCTTTCATGATTATGAAATATGTTACTTAGATGCTATTTAGAATTTTCTTTAGTGATAATATGCTCTTGAGAGATCCCACTCAGTTTCTGATAGCCTGAGAATATCTTTATTTCACCCTGTTCCTTGAAAGATTTGACTTTCATTTTCTCTTATGGTTCTTGAAGGGATAACTTTACAGCGTTCTTGTCATATTTTTGTTATATTTTAAAAGTTAGCTCTATCATTTCTTACTGGGTGCATTTAAGATTCTTGTTTTTTTCTGTTTATTTGTTTTGATTCTTGTTTTCCTTAATATCATTCAGTTTCATTAAAATGAGTGTAACAGAATTTTTTTTCTTTGTACGTATCCTGCTTGGATTGGATTTCTTTAACATGTGATCTTTTTCCTGGTTATAAAATGTTATGATCTTTTCAAGTATCATCTTTGCCCATTCTCTTATATCTTTCTGGAATTTATGTAAAAGTTAATTTTCTCACTCTGTCTTGTTTGTCTCATAAACTTCCTTTCAAATTTTTACCTCTTTATCTCATTTTGTCCCATTGTGTTTAACTTCCTCAGATTCATCTTTCTTTACCCTCATAATTTTTCTATCTAGTCATCTTCTGATAGTCTTGTTCATTATATTTTTTTTCCAATCATTACATTTTTCAGTTCTTAGCATTCAGTTTGATCCTTTTTCAATTCTGTTTGGTCATTCTGTGAGTTGGAACAAAAATGGGTTGTTATTTCAAGTCACACATGCAAAAAGTAATACAAACTTCATGTCAAAAACTATAAAACTCATGGTAGCAAATCTGATGTCTACTTATTACACTTGAAGTAGGGAAATATTTCTTAAACAAGAAACAAAAAGTATTGACTGAATAAAAAATCATATTCTGGATTACATTAAAATTAAGAACTATTATCTTCAATAAATTTTAAGTTTTTATTTAGTTAAAACTGGAAGAATAGATTTGACATGTTGATATTTGATACACAGTACACACAACTAAGAAAATATTACCATCAAGAATATATAAATACGTGGAATACCTGGGTGGCTCAGTCCGTCATGGCTTAGGTCATGATCCCAGGGTCCTGGGATTGAGTCCTGCATCAGGCTCTTTGCTCAGCAAGGAGCCTGCCTCTCTCTCTGCCTGCTGTTGCCCCTGCTTGTGCACGCTCTCTCTCTTTCTGACAAATAAATAAATAAAATCTTTAAAAAAAAGAATATACAAATACTTCAAATTAATACAAAACCACAAAAATATAATAGGAAGTGGCCCAAAGATATGTAGTGACAATTCAATAGATAAATAGATAAATAAATAAAATATATCATAAAATAAAACAAATTAATGATAGGTAAAGAACTTTAAACATCAGGGGTGATTAGAAACATACAAATTAAGGCCACAATAAAATCTCCCTTAATTGCCATCATTTTAACCTGGAAATGACAATTATTAAAGAAAATATGGAGAAATAGAATATTTTATATGGTGCTATTGAGAGAAAATTTGTATATTCAGTATGGAACAAAATTTGCTATTTCTATTCAATTAGAATATTTCTTTTCCACATGAAATATCAGTTCCACTCCTGGTAATATATTCAGGAGAGACCATTGCACATGTACAGAGAAGAAATTTGCAAGCATATTCATAGTTGCAAATTGCAGAATTTCTGAAAATCTTTTGATAGGATAGTGGATTAAAAAGTATTCTTTTAAAAAAGGAAACAACTAGTAAAACAATTTTGATCTATCCATACTGTAGAATATTAAGCAACCATTAAAAAGTAATATATACCTTTATTATACATATGTTGACCAATGATAGGTACAAAGGTATGTATGTACATACATATATTAGTGTAGACATAGACATAACAAAACCTTGTAGATTTAGATATTTTCCATTACATATGGATAGATGATTAGGTGTAAGAAAGCAGATCAGATTATAAATACATACATATACATAAAAATACAATTGTTTATTATATACATGGTACATATGTAAAATATATGTAAGACCATATGTAAAACAGTTAATAATGGTTTTGTTTTAACAAACCTTAATCTTCTTCAATTAATGCCTAGTAACAAATGGTTGCAGAGTCATTGAAGCATGTCTGAACTTTCAAAGTCTACTACATCTCATTTTCTTGAAACATCTTTTAAATCAGTTAGATTGCTTCAGAATTTAGCTAACTAGAAAATGTTACATCTACATTTTCTCATATGTTTTCTTTCTTTTAAAATTCAGGGCATTAGTTTTTGCTTGATATTAAGCAATTACATCTTCTAGTTTTTGGAAATTTTAGGGTATGGCTATTTTCAAATTAAAAATTGCTCAGCAAGAATCGATGTTGGAAGTTGGCAGCAGAGTAGGAAGACTCTAGGCCCCCCTTGTCCTAGGAATACAACTAGATTATTATCAAATCATCCTAAACACCTTAGAAATTGACCTGAAGACTGACAGAATGAACTCCACAACTAAAGGTAGAGAAGAGGCCACATTGAAGAAGATAGGAAGTGTGGAGACATGGTTTAGGAGAGAAATGGATCCTGGCTACTGCACAGGGGAGGGAGTTGTGGCTGCAGAGAAGGACTAGAGATAGACTGGCACACAGGGGAGCACAGAGGGAACATGCATCCCCATAGCAATTGGCTTGGAAAGCAAGAGGGGCCAAATTCTGTGACTTCTGGCAACCAGTGAAGCTTAAAGCCTGGAATTCTAAAGGTCAGCAGGCTTGGCTTAGGGAGAGCCCTGAGGGCATTGTGGCTGTTCTTGGAGAAAAGGCAGGCAAACAAACCCTGGACATACAGTGTAGAAACAGCAATCTGATGAGTGCCTGGGGCATACAGTGGGAAGGTTATTAGCTCATCTGAGAGCATGTCCCAGAGAGGCAGCATTCATGGCAAAGGAACTAGCTAATGCCATTTCCTTCTCCACCCCTCAGCATAAGCACAGGGCCACCTGTGGGAACAAGTGCAGAGCAGACACTGGCTGCCTAACTTTCTTACACCAAGCCCTGCCACCCCATGCTCCTGTGGAACTGCCCTTCCCAGTCTCACTTGCCTCAGTCCCAGTGTGGTGGGCCTCCTCCCCAGAAGACCAGCCCAAACCCCTGCTCACACCTTGTCTCCCAACTTGGGAGTTTGGGGGAGACTTGGTTCTGGTGGCAGTGGCAACAGTCTCATTTCACAAGCAGATCAGAGCACAACTACTTTAAACACACCACATTCAGGCCAGGATCGAAACACTGCCCGTAATAGGCAAAGGGAGCCTCTGCTCAGATGACTGGCCTGAAGGATAAAACAGCCAGGACAAAAGAGCAGAGCATACACAGCACACATTGAGGTATTCCTGGAAGTGTCAGGCCCTGGGGAACAGGGGACACTACATGTCAGGACAATACAGGACCTCATATTCA